TAGGCTGAAATTGATACAAATGCATCAAAATCTCCCTGGCCAATCCTCCCTCTTCATTCCTGCCTTTCCCTCTGCTCCTCCCGATGGGAATCACCTCCAGATCCAGACAACTCGACCTTTGATTTCTATTTTTAGCAACTCCACCTCTTTTATTTTTTGAACTCCTTCCCTATTCCCGCTCGGAGCGGCTGAATCACGACACCAAACACAATTCCTGCTTTTTGTGGGAATTTTTCTTTTTTTGTCCTTCATTTCTGTGGGAGTTTTTTGGGTTTTTTTTCCCTTCTTTCTGTGGGATTTTTTTTTTGTCCTTCATTTCTGTGGGAGCTTTTTCCCCCTCCCCTGCTTTTGATTTTTCTCGGTTCCTGGGAGGCAGGAAGGGAAGTCTGATCCCGAATTTCATTCCCATCCCTTTGGGAAGTGTCAGGGGTCCCACTCCTCCCTCCTTCCCTCCCTCCCAAAGCTGGCAGGAAGGGTGAGGAGCAGGAAAATCTGATTTGGTTTTCCCTTTGTTTCATCACGAAACTGCAAAAAAAAAACCCAAAAAAACAAAAAACCCCATTGACAAGACAAGAACATCCAGAAAATCCTTTGGATCTTGGCCAAATCAAATTCCTGGGGAAAATCAAGCAGGATTTTAATGTTTCCCGAGCTCTTCGTCATCACCCAGCCCAGATTTCCTTTTCCAGGACTTTTCTTCGTCATCAAGCCTAAATTTCCTTTTCCAAGACTTTTTTCTTTGTCACGGAGCCAAAATCTCCTTTTCCAGGGCTCTTGTCGTGATTTTCCACCCTAAATTTCCTTTTCTAGGATCATTTTCTTCACCATTGAGCCCAGATTTCCTTCCCTAGGACTCCTTTCTTCATCTTCAAGCCTAAATTTCCTTTTCCAGAACTTTTATCTTGGCTATCAAACATAAATTTCCTTTTTTTAACAAAATTTTCTTCACCACTGAGCCAAAATTTCCTTTTCCAGGATGATTTTCCTCCTGGTTTTCCACCACAGAGCCCTGGTTGATCCGACCCCTCTGTTCCTGCTCTTTTTTTTTTGGGAATTCAGCTCCCTCCATTTCCAGCACTGACCTAAGTGTGTCCATTTTATTCCCAAATATTAAAAAGTTGTTGAAATTCTGGAATATTATCACAGCTGGGAGCTCCAGGTGGAAACGTCCAAGGGAATTTCCAATGGTGTCAACGATGTAAATAATTATAATAATGACATATTATCTTTCATTATAATTCATTAATTTTAATATTTATTTTTAGTTATTTTAATAATTTCATTCATGAATATTAATAAAATGTTAAAATGATAATAACGGTAATTATTATTTCGATTATGAAAATTATAATGATTATATTGTAATAGTAATCATAATATGATAATATTAATAGTAATAGTAATAATAATAATTAAAATAATAATAATATTAATAATAGTACTGCAAGATTAGTAGTGCAGGGGTTGGGAGTTCAGCTTTAAAATCCTTCCAATCCAAACCTTTCCATGATTTTAGGGCAAGAATTTTTATATTAATCCTCTTCTATTGCTTTATTCTCACCCTCTCTTGTGATGGGAAAATGATTTTTTAAACTTCGCAGCAGCTTTTGGAGCAGAGTCAGAACTGAGCTCCCACTTTTCCTCGGCTGATTATTAAATTTATTTTTTGATGTTCCAGTGGAAATCTGAGATTTCCTGACTGATAAAATGCACATGGAAAGCCAGAATCCAGGTGTTTGATTTCCCTGCAGCTGCCTTCATTAAAAAGCCCTTCTGCCTTAATTAGCAGGGTGGAATAAATAAAATAAAATGCAATTACCAGGCCACTGCCACGGGATTTATGAAACAGCCAGAGGAGAAAGCAGAGCTCTGATTCTCAATCCAAGGAAAATCCAACATTTTTATTCAGCCCAATAAAGACTCGGACAGCAAAACCCCTTAAATTTGACTTTTTATTTCATTGCAGCAGAAAATCCAACGTAGGCCTCGTTACGTTATGCATCTTTAATTATAAAAATAAGCAAAGAAAATAACTTGCCTCTCTCTCCTCGCTATGATATGTTTCAAATAACCTTTATATGAACACACGGAGCTTTACAAACGTCATGGAAACAATAAATAAAGACATATACCAGATATGCTCACTGTTTATTCCAGTACTCAGCAAAAAAAAAAAAAAAAAAACCACCCCAAAAAAAACCAAAATCCCCCCCCAAACTCTCTCCCTTTCCCCTTTTCTAGCTCTCTTTAAATTATAAATACAAATAATGCAAATTTATAATGGCACAAAAACGTCTAAAGTGCAAACAAATCACGAGATTCATGCAAACCCTCCCTGCCCCCGAGAGAAAAATCCTTTAGTGAGACATAAAAAAAAAAAAAATAAAATGAAGCAGAGATGAACTCCGAGGTGAAATTGCTGGACTCGATCTTGGGGATCGTTCCCCATCCCGAGGGGTCTCTCACACCTAAATCCAAATTTTTCTGTCATTCCCAAGGGTTGGGAAGAGCCTCCAAAAAATCCCGAGAGCTGCGAGTGCCCAGCTCAGGAGAGGGGAGGGATGAGCGATCCCAAATTCCTCCCAAATTCCTCCCAAATTCCTCCCAAATTCCTCCCAAATTCCTCCCTGCACCAGCACGGGCACAAAAGCGGCTTCAAAGCAGCTCAAAAAATTTGGGAATTGTGGCTCTTTGGGATTGTGGTGGCACGGGGGGAATTCCCTGGAATGATTCCTGGCAAATCCCACCTGGGGGGGAATCGTCTCCCCACTCCTCTTCCCACCCATTCTCAGGAGACAGAGTGGAAATCTCTGCTGGAAATGGAAATTTCTTTCTGGATCCTCCAAAAAAAAAAAAAAAAGATGGATTTGGGATGTCCAAGGCTCCTCCTCGGCCCCAAATCTGCTTTGGGCAGAGTTGCAGAGAAATGGGTGGGTGGAGAAGCTGCTTCCCATGAGGGAAATCCTGCCCAGGTGTCCTTGGAAAGCTCCTGGGAGCTTTGGGATCCCTCAGTGGGAGCTCTGGAGCCCTCCCAGCTGGGGTCTGAGCCCTGCTCCGAGCCAGGGAGAGACTTTTTGTGATCAAAATTGTCACTTTTTGTGATCAAAATTGTCACTTTTTGTGACAAATTCCCAAATAAAAGCAGGGACTGGATGCACAAACCCCAGTGGAACTCCCTGGCTCCCGGGGATGCACCCCTGGGATCAATTCCTAAATATAATCCCAATTTTAAGGTCGGAATACTCCAGGAGCTTTTGGTTTTCAACCTCTCAGAACTTCTTTGTGTCGGCCTCTCAATCCCTGCCTGATTCAGGAAGGAGCAAATTTGCATCTTCCTCACCCTGGATGGCTCCAGGAGAATCCCAAAAAAAAAAAAAAAAAAATTTTCACAATTTCTGACCCCCCCCCGATGTCAGCAACTTTTTTTTTTTTTTTTTTTTTGCTGCTTCCAATTCCGTGCCAGCACTTTTGGGCTACATGTCATGGAGACAGCGACGTCTGAAACGCTGCCACTGCATCTGGTTTTGATATTTTAGCAGCAAGTTCTGGTTTAAAGGCTTTGTGGTTTTCCAAACAACACAAAAAAAAAATTTAAAAAAAAAGAAAAAAAAGTTCTATTGCTTCAGGTTTCCACAAGGAAAAGAGATCCTTCCTTTATCAGCTCCCCAAGGATCTGAGGCAGAGTGTCCCACTCTGCAGAGACCCCAGGGGATGGATTTGGGATCACCCTGGTGGATCCAACACCACAAAAAGGATTTTTGGGGCTCACCAGAGCCTGCCTGTGGGGTTTGGGATCTCCCAGCTCTGCTCCTCTTCCCAGAGCCCGCTGAGGAGGAGGAGGATGAGGATGGAGGATGGAGGAAAAGCAGCTCCCAGAGCTCGTTCCGTGTGCTCAGCTTTCCTGTCCAGGGAATGATGGATTTTCCCTGCCTTTCCCCAGAATTCCTGACGGGAATTCTGCCCTGTGAGATTCCCACAGGATCTGGTCATTCCAAAATTCCCAGCAGCTCTGCCTTGGGTCTAAGTGCATCTCCTGACCAGCCTGAACTTGGGTTTTTCATGGATTTTCCCTCAATTTTAGCTCTGAAAAGCCGTTCCTGGCCCTGTGATTCACGTCCTAAACCTTTCCCCTCTTCCTTTCTAAAAAGGCCACAGAGTGGAACGTGAACTCTTGACTACGACAGAGGTGCTGCTTCCAGGAAAAATAAAATAATAATAAAGAAAGAGCTGACTTACAAAACTTAGTTTAGGCAATAAAGTTATTCTGTTCTGCTCCTTTGAAGCAGAGTCTGGTGCAGTTTATGTACAGTACAGACAGATTTTAGCACTATTTATACCACAGTTAGAGCAAGGCCTTTAATACTCTAATCTTAAGACAGGCTTTGTTTCTGTTAGGCTTCGTTTAAAGCTTCAGGCAGTTAAATACAGTACAGAGATGTGAGCTTGGAAATACAACACACGGTTATGGGACCTCCTGAACCAGCTCCAGCCACAGCCTGGCACCTCTTTCCGTGGTAGAACTCGTCCTTCCCCTGCTTTTTGGGCTTTGTGGGGTGGTTTGAACTCGTTTTGCACCGCGGTGCCAGGTCCTGGTGACTAAAACCACCCAGCGAGTTTGGTAAATCCCGGCTTAAACGTGCTCACAGCTGGAAGGGTTAGGACTGAGGGTGACACTACAGGACCAGGGGACGTGACATCCATGCTCGTCCATGGCCAGCACAGATTCATGACATGAATCCCACGGGGATTTTTAGGATGTGCAAGAGTTTTTTGTTTTTTTGTTGTTTTTTTTTTTTTTAGTGCATTTTTCGTCACCTGCGGGAGAGGAGCGGCTCCTCCCGCCGGTGCCGAATCTCCAGGCCTGGGTGGTGTCAGCACAAGGGTTTGGGACAAAACTCAGCCTCTCAACTTCGGCAGCTTGGTGCCTGAAGGCCTGACCTCTGCAGGGATCTACTTAAGACTCAGATTTTTGGGGATAACAGATTTTTTTTGTTGTCGTTGTGGGGAAGAGAAGAGACAGAGCCGCCTGGCCGGCGAGAAAACCGCGACACCGAACACAGACCCACGCAGTCCGAGAGGAACAGAAAAGATGAACCAACTAAAGGAGCCCTAAAGGAACTAAAACCCAGCTCCTAGTGGGAGAGGGGGGGAGGTTTAAAATACCTACAAAAGTCCACTGGCTTTGGGTGCAGCAGCGTCCTGGAGCAGAGCCCTCAGCTTTGCTCTCCCCCAGCCCGCTCGGCGGAGCCGCGCTTGGCCGAGCTCTCACCTCGCAGGTTCCTGAGGAGCAGCTTCAGCTTCTGCGGCTCTGAGATCCTCCTGCGCAGGAACTCGGCCCTGGGGTGGCCCTGGGCGCAGTGGTCACTCTGCAGGAGGTGGAACAGGCTGGCCATGTTGGGCCCCAGCTTCTCCATCAGGCTCTCCTTGATGGTGCTCACCGTGTCCTCGTCGCACTCCAGCAGGCTCCGCACCAGCTTGTTGTAATACCTGCAGGATAGGGAGCTGGTTATTGTCACCTCCCACCCAGAATTGGGATTTTTAACTCATCCAGAGTGTGTTTGTTGTAATACCTGCAG